TATATATATATAACTATGAATCATAAATATATGCATGGATACCATCAGATTTCTTCTCTTTTATTTATCGAACGTTTTACCTTTATAGATTACTGGATATCCTTGACTTTTGTAGAAGATTTGAAAAGAATTTAATACAAATGTCAAAGTTACGTAAAAGTACATAATATCATGTCAGATCTTGCAGTTGTGCCATGCTGTCCTCTATAGTTGTATAGAATGTTGGGTCCAAGACAAAATTGCCAATAGGAAGACGATCAACTTCGTAGTTTGCTTCTCTTTAATTAGTTGTTAGGCAAAATTTTCACCTTCAAGTAACGATTTAGAAGTATTTAGGGAAAATTGGGTCCCCTCTATTTGACTGCCTGTATGGTTGAACCTAATCTGAATTCATTCATGGATCTTGTTAGCAGGTCTTGGGGTGTGCTCATGTTTTGGGTCATTTGGGTGTATGGTTTATGGCAATGTATCTTCAGGAATGTGCAACACGTGTGAAATGTGTAGGAAATCTAAGACATTTGCCCACAAACATATAATGTAAACTCATGTAAAGCCAGCAGATCATATGAATATACAAAAGTGAAAATCATACAGATATTTAATATTTTTATGTGGTTCAGTCGGAGCATACATTTATGTTTAGATGTCCACCATACCTAATTTTTTGCACAACTCACAGTAAATTGAAAATTGTTACTACTTCAATGGTGGAGAGGTCCTTACAATTTATCTATATCTTGAGACTAACTTCCACACGCCAAGCTTCTCAACTTTCATTCTTCTTGGTAAGTGGAACTTTCTTCAGGATATCCACTATAACAACAAAATAAAAATGCAAAATAGAACATAAGAAAATACAACGAACAAGTTGCTTCTTACACATGTAGATGACTGCTCATGAAAAAGCTAAGCTTAGCATGATATCAAACTATCATAGAACATTCAATTGATTTTATCTTAGCTTTACTTCAGAAAAATTTTTGTGAGAAATTTTTTTAGGTACTAAAACTAGAGGAGAGGAAGCTAAAAGTTGTAAACTATGCAATGATGGGAGCTCTTAAACATGAACCCTTAAGATACTACATATACTAGGTGGTTTGGGCTTGTAATTTTTGAGGTTGAAGGATAAAAAAATTAATTAACTCTATTTCATATATATGTTTACTACTAAGATTACATTTGAAATCCTTGAAATCTCTATCTTCTAATTCAAATGGGCCAAATGCATCATTAAAATTTCCTTGGATTTTGATTTTTGCAGAGCAACAAAAAATTATGGAGGCTTGCAATATTTTGTGAAAATATCATATTTATTTTTAAGGTCAAAAGTCTTAAAGAGCAATGCAAACCCTTACAAAGACCCACCCATAAACCTTTGTAGAGGCTTGCTAACTCTATTTTAAGTTTATTATTTGATTTTATATATTCAGAATCTATTTTTTCAAAAGATTTTTATGTTATAAATTACTTTTGGTATTATAGATAGTATATCAAAAGGTAATTGACTTAGCATAAACATATATGTTTGACTTTGTTTTATAATGTTTTAAAGTTTTCTTTTTTAAATCTTAATCTATTTCACTTATTTGTTCATATGATCTATGATATTTTTTTCATGTGAATCTTTTACATATAAAAGTAACGCTTCTATTTTTTTTTATTAATCCATAGATCTTCCTTCATATGAATCATCTTGATGACATACTTATTACCTATAATCATTAGCTCAAAAAATCATTAGTCCACTTAAAAAAAAATCATCATTCATTTGTTAATTATAATTTGCAATCACCAAAATCATGTCATGTGCTCATAGAGCTAAGCAAACATTTTCCCAAAGTAATTATTGTCTATTTACCCTTGGAAACACTTATAATTTGATTGACACAAAGCACTTAAGCCCCAAAATGGTGCATTTTATTTATAACTTGCAAATTTATGACCACCTTTAATTTAGCTTTGACTTGAGCTAAAATTACAAATGAAAAATATGGAAAATAATGGGTATAAAATTAGCATGAAATACTACTAAGTTAAAATAATTATAATATTTTAGTAGACGATAAATTATTAATAAATTCATCACTCATATTAAAAAGTAAAAATAACTAACAAGATTTTAATTAGGATAAATAAGATACTTAAGTATGATATAATTAAGTATTCATTAGTTTCTCATACTAATAAAAACTCATTATGATTAATAAGGTTTAAATTAAGATAATTCTATTAAAATTTAAGAGTTGTATGATAATTTAAATTAGTTAAATTATCATATTATTTATGAATATTTATGTTTAAATATAAGTCATGACATCATTATGTTCAATTTTTTTTTTACTTAACTTTAACCCCCATCAACCAAAAACTATGAGTCCACACAACATTTTTTTATAAGAGTCCACTATCTAATCCCTATTATATGCATGGATAGAACCAACACTATTTTTTAGAGTGGGCAAAACTTTTATCTCTCAGATATATATATATATATATATATATAATTTTTTAATAAAAAATATAAATGCAGAAATATTATCTGTCTTGCTGATCTTATAATTTGTCCTTCTTAGCATAATACATGATCAAAAGAATTGGTGCTCCCATGCAAATCAATCAAAAAATAGTATTTTTTTATTTTTTTATTTATTTTTATCGCAACCTCTGTCAGATTGGTAGGGCAGAATAAAATATATTTAAATTAATTATATTTAACAAAATTATTAGCGAGGACCATCCATGTTTTGGAGCTATAAGTGATTACTGGCCATTTGGTTGGATTAAAGCTAACAATTATTAATTTTAATTATAAATTAATTTTTCTAAAAGACATAGAGAAAACAATCAAATTCTCACACATTCTGTTGAATGTGTATATACTGAAAAAAATAAAATTAGAAATTTTTTTTTTCCACCAATAAACTTTATTAAATATTGGGATTTAATTGAATAATTTTGATTCCATTATTTAGATTCTGATTTTAAGCGGCTTTTATCGTAATGGCTACAA